GATCCCAGATCTTTCTTTTCAGACATTGGTTGGCTGGGAATATCTACTGAGAAAATGATTGGCAGACTACTCACTGCTTTATACAAGTTGTTTAACCATTCTTAGCTTTAGTTTCTGAACTTAAAAAATATGACTGATGCCATTTTTCATTTAGTACTGTGATGAGACTAAATGTTTAGCGGAAATTCATTTTTAACAGTGCCTGCCATGTCAGCACAAAAGGATTATTTCTACATAAAGCACCTCACAATTACTTAACAAAGCAGTCTTTCGAACCACTGCATTTACATCTCTACAGCTTTTTTAAACAAAAATGTGACATCATTTGCCACCTAGGTAAGTAACTTTGATGCAGCCTTGGTTGGGGAATTTTCTGCCACTTTTCATACTGAAGTTCAGAGACTAATCGCATATTTTTAGTTTTGTGAATTTCACGTTCTTAAAACACTTTCTCCAAATGAAGCAATATGCTAACAGCTATGAAGACAGCCATAGTATGTACAGAAGAGACTGTCTAGCCTGCTTAAACATCCACTCAAATACTGCTTAGTTATTTGCTTACAGGCCACATCCCTCCTGAAATATGAGCTCCATGAAAACATGGTCTATGTCTAATTATCCACTTTTGGCTCCTATAACAATGTTCAGCATATATTCAGGGATCAAACATGGAAAGATACATCACATACACAAATAAGAGAAACATAATACAAACTATAACAATTCCCTTACAGATACTGAATGTTACAGATCATAAAAGGAGCTTTCATTTCTCACTAGAATTGACTTTTGATACTGGGAGATTGTGGGGAAAAAGAGAATTTATGGGGAACAGAGTGTTTGGATTGCACTTGTGGTACAGGAAGATTTAGTTGTGTGACAGGTGATATAAGGCAGGGTAGTTGACATTCTGCTTCCCTCTCCCTGATTTTAATGGAAAGATGAGCCTCCATCCCCACCTACAACCCACAAGCCTGGTGAATTTTTTACTAAAATACATTTAGCTTAAGATTGGTTAAAGCAAGGTCTTCAAACAGGGAATGAAAAAAACGAAGTAATGTTGGACCATCAGGAAGAAGTAACAAAAAGAAGTAACAATGCAGTTATCTTCAAGAGTTTTCATTTGATTACCCAAACAAAAACTATATATCATATAAAGAGATTAAAAAGAATGAGGTCAAAAGGACATATATCACTTTCTATACTTCACTCAAAATCACAAGATGCTCACACAAAAAGACTGATACATTGTTTCAATATTTTAATACCTAAAAAACTCTAAAAAAACCCCTCTACAGAACAATATACTGAAACACACTGTAAACAAATCAAGATGGAATCCTAAAAAATTGTTTAGAAACCCATATAAGGAGAGCAAAAAATAATGAAAAACAAAGGTAAAATACACTAAGTAAAAAATAAAATGGCAGATTTAAGCCCAAAGACATCAATAATTACCTTATATATAAATTGCCTAAATATACCAATTAGAAGGTAAACACTGCCAGTGAATACAAAAATCTGAGCCAACAATATGCTGCCTACAAGAAACTAACTTCAGATACAATGGCACTGGAATGTGGGAATGCTGGAACAGGAAATGGGAGAGGTAATACCATTTGAACATTAATTTTGAAAATGTAGAAGTGGGTAAAAATTAATGTTAGATAAAGTGGACTTCAGAATAAATAAAATTAGTAGAACAAACAGGACATTTACAAGGATACAAATATTACTCTGCCATGAAGACATAATGGTCCTACGAACACATGAACACCAAAAAAGACAGCCTCACAATCTATGTTTCCAGAACTGACAAGCATAGAAGAAATACAGTGCATGAATCATAATTATAGTTCACGACTCCACCCTGGTTGCAGCAATTAAAAAGCTAGTAAGACTTTAAAGCGGCCCAGCACAATCATCTAAGAGAATCTTCTTGATATACTAAACTGAGTGGTTGGTTAGTCACTCACTCAACCCAGAAACATCAGAATATTTTTTTTAAAAAAAACCCATGGAATATATGCTAACATCAATCTTTTTCTAGAAAGGCCCTGAAACAAACATTAACAAATTTTAAAAATTAATATCATATCGAATATTTTGACCATGACACCAATCTAGAGATTACAAGACAAAAAAAAAGTAAATAACTAGGAAATTAAATAATGCATTTCTAAAGAACTTAGATGAAAGTTAAAAATAGGTAGAATTTAATGAAAACGGACACACAGCATGTTTACAGCAGTCATGAGTGTAAAATTATAGCCTTAAATATTTACACTGGAAGCGAGCAAGTTTCAAATCAATAAACTATGTTTCCACTCCAAGAAGAAAAATGAAATTTAACACAAAACAATTTGAGGACAGGAAATAATAAAAGATAAAAATTGAATAAAGGGGAAATTTTTAAAGAAACAAAAATCTGTTCTGCTTAGAAAAGTCAATAAAGTTGACAAATTTCTAGAAAAACAAAAATGAAAAATGTAGAAAGCACAAATCATGAAGAATTAAACAGGGATATCACTACAGATCTTACTCCTACTACAATAGAAAAAAATTCACACTCACAAAATTGACAAGCCAAATAAATGGATCAATATCTCAATAAACAAACTATTAAACCTCAATAAAGAGGAAATAGGCAGTTCAACTCTTTCTAAAACTACTGAGGAACGTAAAGTAGCTAAAAAAATCACATCTTAACTTTCTAACAACAAATATATATAAAACAAAGTGCAGTACTCACGATTGCTTTGAAAGATGAAATTATCAGTCATAAATCTAACAAAGCACATACATATATCTTTATCATGAAACTTCCAAATACTGGTGAAATAAACCAAAGACTTAAATGAGTGGAGATGATCCTGTTCATGAACTGGAAGGTTCAACATAGTAAAGATACTCTTCCCGGACTGATGCTACAGGGTCAATGAAAATCCTATGAAAATAGCAAAGTGTTCTGTACACATAGCACCTTATTCTAAAATTTATGAAGTTATTAGACCTCAAATAAGTGAAACTATAAAAGAAGAATTAAGTGGGAGCAATCATTTTACTACCTGGTAGAACTTTCCAAGTAGTCACAGTGGCCAACAGGATATTAGTGGAGAGATTTCCAAAAGATCCATGGAACAGCTAGAGAACTTAGGAGATTCCCATAAATACACCTAATGACATTACTCAAAAATGCAAAGCCATTTACTACAAGAAAGACAAAGAGCAAACAGACTTCCATAGGCAATGCAAACAAATAGATAAAGCACAACCTGAACTTCACCTATTATTTTAAACATTTGAAACAAACCACACAGTAAAAAAATTTTCTAAGGAAAGTCTCTGTTGCTAAGGCTGGCCTGGAACACACAGTCTCCTGTTTCAGCCTCCCAAGGGCAGGAGCTGGGATTACAGGTAACTCACTGTGTCCAGTAAAACCTCTAAAGTAAAACTAGTGCTTTTTGAAAGACTTATGGAAAGACAAACTATAAACTGGGAGAAAATATTTTAAGTAACATATTCAAAACAGTTGCATTTAAAGTATATAATATCTTTCAAAACAGAACTGCAAAAACATTTTTAAAAATGGATAAAAGGATAAATTTTATCCAGGAAATGGATAAAAGGCATGAAAAAACATTACATCAAAGAGGACACAGAGATGACACACAAACATATGAAAAGATGCTGGCCATCATTAGCCAGTGGAGAGTGCAAATTAAAATCACAAGGGAGTATCATTACATACGCATCAAAATGGCTAAAAATAAGGAACGATGACACCCAATGCAGCTAAGGATGCAGAGAACTGGACTGCAGATATTTGTTGGACAAAGTGTAAAACTATATGACAAGTCTGGAAAAAAAAGAGTGCTTTTTTTCTTTCAAAACTAAACATGCATATAACCTAGGAATGCACTCCTAGGCATTTACCCCAGTGAAACAAAAATGTAGTTCATACAGAAACCCAGCCATACATGTTTTCATCACCTTACTCATAATCACCAAAAATTAGAAACAACTCCTAAGTCCTACATACCTTTCAATGAGTAAAAGAACTCTCATACATCCGTATCATGGAATATCATCCAGCTGTAAGAAAGAAACAACTACTGATACATGCGACAACTTGGACGGATCTCAAGTACATTAAGCTGGGTGAGAAAAAGCCAGTTCTCAAAGGTTACATACATTATTCCATTTATACAGCATTCTCACAATGATGAAATTACACAGATGTAGAACAGAGTGGTGCTTTTCAAGGATTGGAGATTTAAAGAGAAAACATTTAAACATTTGTATAGACTGTAACTTGCCATGGAATACTAAATGTCAAATGCTGTCACATGAATTTACACAAGACAAAACTGTATATAATTAAATGTTCACGCATGCAATGTGCAAACACAATAGCTGAAATCAGAAAAAAGTATGAATTGTAACTATGCTGTTTTGTAAAATTATACAAGTCATACAAGATGTTACTGTTGGTAGAAGTCAAGTGAAGGGTATTTGTAATCTCTTATTTCTTACAACTGCATAAAAACATTATTTCAAAATAAAAAAAGTAAAACAATATTTTACATTCCTTCTGGCAAAGTGTGATCCAATACATATCAAGAGCTACAATCACATCCCTAGCTTGGCGTGGCAGTATCAATTTAGACACTATTAGTCATTTATACACTCAACACCGTGGTAGGCACTGTGGTAGGTGGTAAAGATTCCATGAGGAAAAGAGCAGCCACAGCCAGTCTTCATGAGCTTTCAGACCAAGAAATATAAAAACAGATCAAGGTATGAAGAGGATCATTACTTCAATCATCTATGTGGGAATCTGAATTAACTTAAATTTCTAATAGTAAGAGAAAGTTAAAGCAATTTTTCAAATACTACATGCTCACTAACATGATTAACAAAATGAAAAAATGCATGAAAACTAAGGCAGATGATAAATTAAAAAATCATATATCAGCATGATGACAATTAATGACAACTTCTTTTACATGAATAAACTTTTTATTGTTTTTTAGATAATTAGAAAGAATAAAGAAATGCAAGATAAATGCTTTCTAAACAACAGCCGATAGTCTCTTCTCTGTGACATGGTATTTTCAGTTTCCTTTATAAAAAGTATAGACATTCATTTATTTAAATTTTTTACAAAGTCAAGATCAAATGGAAAAAGTAAGTACGCTAAGATAAATTCAGTTTCTTATCAACATAAACATGGCTGCGAGGGGTAGGGTCTGAGCCGGCCCTTTTGGAAAGACAGTGTTTGCTGTAGCTGTTTCCTTGAAGTCAAATAACTGAGAAGACACGGGAAGCCACTATGCTGGCAGGGCAAGGTAAAAACCATGGTGGGCAAAGGGGGTTGGAGTGCTGAGGGAAGAAAAGATGCTCATAGTGAACCTCAGGATCAGTACTATAAACAGTTCAGGAAATAGATGTGTGAAGGAACCGTTTATGGGTTAACGTGTGATTAAGGCGCGACAGTCACTAGCACGGGTACAGACAGATCCTTGTAGCACGAAGTGGAGGGCAGAGTTTGTAAATGAATATGGTGAACTGCAAGGCCAGCCAAGCCAGGTAACTAATCACAAAAGGAATTCATTCATAGTGATGTAAAATGATTGGGGCAAAATTGCACACTTACGCTGTCAAGTCCAGGGCAGACCTTCGAGGGAGTTCACTGGGAGATACTCTAATTCCTGTTTTATCTCCTTTGCAAAAAGAATTAGTTTGCAACAAACTATTCCTGTCCTTCCTGTGACAACATACTGACTTCTGCCTGTCAAAAAGCTTCACGTGCTGCCCTCCCCAAGAGCCTCTTAGTACAACAACAGGAGCTCTGGAGGTGACTCTGTCAGGCGAGGCTGGGGTCCCTCGCACCTGCCTGCCTGCTGACCACAGAACCTAGCACTTGTGTGAAGGGCCTCCTGCGGGCCTAAGTACAGCTGCTGAACTAGCTGGTGGGTCTTTTCCTTCCTAGCCCTATGTCTCTCATGTATTTAAAGTAGTAAGTTTTCTTTTAAAAAATTTTCACAGGAAATAATGAACAGAAATTGCCATGGATCTGTAACAGATCCTAGAATAATGCAGACAGGCAAGAATCTGTCAATATAGCAAAATTCCAAATATGAAATTCATGGTTCAGGAAGCGAGAGATAAATAATAAATACGAGGAGTTTCTCAAAGAAGTTTCCTTTGTTTCCCCTCATTTCTCATGGAATTTTGTTTGTGTAAAAAGTTCTGATTCTATGATAAAAGAGCCAGCCCTGTTGGGATCAATATCAAACACTTATGCCATTAAGCCCTCGACCTAAAGGGGCAGAAGACATCACGGGGTTGCGCTCTGTTTTTCCTAAAGACACCTAGAGTTTTAAATACCTTTATTATTTAAACTTCATCTGGCACTTCAGTCTCTTGAAAATTATCAAGTTAGGCATGAATTAAAGAAGCAGCCCATTTGCAGTACAGTTTAAGTTTTAAGTGCTATTCTGCTCTTGGATCTTTCCCCTTGGCTTGGCACATCTCTGAGATGCAGCTCTCTGAATAGAAACCCAGGACACCCATGGTGGGGAAACAGATCTTCAGGACAGAGCACTCCAGACCAGGTTGCACAGCGTGGTGGCCAGGAAACAGCACTGCCTTCTTTTTGTGCTTTTACTAGTAGAATCATAAGGAAAGTGCATCTTTCCCAGCACCTGCGCACCCCGCCCTCCCCCTGTACTGAGGTATTCCATTTATTTTCTTCTAAACACAACATCCCCTTTCTATCCTATACCAGGGACCCTGCCCGACTCTGGGCTGGCACCATGACAGGTACTGCACCAATTCGCTCCAGTGCTGCTTGGCTGATGGTGTAGGAGTGCGTGTGTGGAGGTGGGGGCTTCCTACTGACTGAGCCATTGTTCCTGGGCGTGATCTGTGGTGATGAGCTTCTGTTAGCTGTCACTACCAGAGTCTTATGTGGGCCAGGGACCAGATGGTTCCCGTTGGCATAGACGGATGGGATATTGGCATTGCCTGAGTGGAGGGAGAAAGACTGGCGCAAGTCACCGAAGTGGTTGAATGTCTCTGTGTTCCCGTGAACTTTCGGGTTGCTGCTCCAGTATCGACTGTTGTAGGTATTGGAAGAGGTCAGCGTGTTGTTCTCCGAGGAGGACATCTCCGTGTGGAACATTTTGGCAGACGAAGAGCATTTAGGTGGAAGATCGTCCTCTCTGAAAAGAAGTGAGTTTTAAGTCGTTAGGATTTACTTGAGGTTGAGCTTACCCTCCTCCCCAAGACTTTTTCTTTTCACATCCAAAAAACAAATCTTCTACCATGAGGCAAAGGAAGCAGCCGCGAATGGCATTTGCTTTGGCATTCACTTTGTGTGAGACCACTGCCAGGGAGACTTCTGCTCAGCTGCTCCATCCTCAAGAGTAAAACAGGAAATACTAGCTAGCTCAAAGACAGTTTCTTCTAATGCAAATGAAATACATAAATACATACATACACACATGCATGATTTGCAAACAAACATATGTGCATCTTTTACCTGTAAACCGGAAAACAGCCCACAAAGAAATCCACTGTTTGTTGCCATAAAACAGCTAGAAAACCAAGCTATAGGTAATGGACAACTTCATGGAATGATGAGTATTTGCTTTTACTGCTTTAGGGTTTGAGTAATCACAGCAGTATGTTGATGAGAAGTTTTCTGCTGTGACGTTACTCAGGGATAGAATCTATCCTTGCATCCAGCCCAAACTCTTTAAGAGTTACAAGAGCTAAAGAAGTTATTAAATTAGAAGCTAATTCGTTTATTTTAAGATTTATTGAATACATACTACTAGATGCTTCACACACACACACACACACACACACACACACACACACACAACCTAGGAAGTCAAGTGGGGTGACAGCCAATGCAAGAACATTAGCATCTGAAAAGTATGGCAAGAGGCTAACACCAACTTTTGTAAGGAGGTGATGTTTAGATAAATTTTGAATCTGCTCAAGAAACTGAGTAAAGAGCTGGGATGAAAGGGAAAGACAAAGAAAGCATTAAACTGAGCAAAGATCCTGAGGCAAAGGAAGCTGTGGAACAGAATAGAACACAGAGTGAGCAGAGTGTCGGCGGGGAGGAGGAAGCGGTGAGGGTCAGAAGGCCTGAAAGGCTGCATATGTTACGCTGCAGAGGCTGGGTCATCGGAGCATTTGCAAAGCTGACCATAGGCTCAAATCTCCACAATGCTTGGGGATTAACTTTTTCTTTAAAGATCATCCTGACACTTTTTCTGGATGCATTTGTATTCTTGTCTGAAGTATCATTTTTCTATAGTTCCTCTGAGTCCTGTGCTAAAGTCTGAACCCACTGTCAAGTCCGTTAGGGTAAAAACTTCACCAACTCTGCTTTTCAGAAGTGAGACCTTAGAAAGTGATTAGGATTAGGTAAGGTCATTGGGACAGAGCACCCATCAATTCTGGGAGCTTTATAAAAAGAGGGAGAGAACCCAACGAGACGCACTTACTCCCTGCCTGTTTTGATGCTCTTTGATGCTACAAGACTCTGCTATCAAGAAGGCCATCATCAGATGAGATACCCAGACTTTGCATCTCTTATAATTATGAGTCAAAATAACCTGTTTTGTTTACAAAACAGCCAGCCTCAGGTATTTTGCCATGACAATGAAAATCACATCAAGCCATATAGCTATGTCCATGTAGAGAAACACAAAGGTTTTTTTGTTTTATGTTCCTATTATAAAGGCCACATGTATTTTAAACTACCTTTCTGAGTGTAGGAGTCACTGAATCCCAAAAACTCCAGAATTATGAAAAAACAGGGGATCCCTGCATTTGTCTCTTCCTAGTTGGGCACATGTTGGATTTTTCATGATTTACTGAATACAGCTTTACTATGAGGAAAAGCAATGTAACACACAACAAAATATCATTTGGCCACTTTAACTGCCTTGGCATCACAGTTACAAGATTAGCAAAGCTACCCTGACAGCCAAAATGAAAAGAAATATGCATTGGCTATGCACAGCAAATTATCTGCCATACAAACCTTATTTCATTAGGAATTTCTTCTTCCTCCTCTTTATTTTTTCTTCTCCAGTAAAAAAATGCCCCTAAAATCAGTGCAATGCAAAAAATGATAATAACCACACCAGTGCCAATGGCTCCAGCTATAAGTCCAATGCTCCTGGGCTGGGCTGCAAAATATATTTAAAGAAAGAAGGGAGAAATTTTTTATATCCACACAACTGTACAAACATGCAAACCTGTTTATACGTGCAAAACCGCCTCCCATATGGCACCCATATTAAGTTAAATCTTGGAGAACTTTCTATATACCTAGTAGCATAGTGGGTTCTCCACATCTACTGAATGAATAAACCATTAAACAATTCTTATAGCTCTAGGAAAGCAGCAGCTGGGGCGGAGGGGAAATAGTGTCTATCTAACTTGTCTGAGTGTCTCAAGTGAATCTTAGCCCTTGGTGGCATAACTTACAGTCTTACCCCAGTCACAGAATCCCTTCTGCAGCTAGAATTCTCAACTAAAGAGAAAGTGTCTGCATTACTTATAGTCACTCAACAATTTGGTCAATAAGGAGATACCAGGGGAGACCCCCAAAAAGGTCTTCCCATAACTATAAGATCATTGCAAATTTATATTATGGCTAGAGCACTATGAAATGAAATCAGGTTTGATTCTAATGATCCTGAAGAGAAAGATATTTTGTCAAAAGATGGTAACAATCCTGAGGCTTAAAAAATAGAGACATTTACAAAATATTTTTAACACTGATTAAATCCGAAAGAATGGCTGTTGAATCTTCAGAAAACTTCTAAACAATTAAGCAGAACCCTCTGTTTAATAAAGATCATAGCGTTTCACACCTAGAGTGGTCATTGTAATTCCATATACTCACGGGAAATCACCTGGAGATCCAAAAGACAGGTGCTGGTTCCAATGGCATTGGAAGCCACACATTGGTACAAACCAGAAGACAGAGCACTGATGTTTCGAATGGTAACTGTTCCCTGGACCTGGTCTGTTGCAAAATAATCATGTGAGGATTTGATGAGATGAATAAGAAAACCAATGAAATCAGCACACCATTAGACTATAGAAATAAGTTGGTATATTGAAGACTTACCTACTTTCTTGTTTCAGGGGGAGGAAGAAATCTTTGATTCATGAATGTTAAAGATTAAAATCACTATAACATGTTAAAGATGTGGAACTGAATTATTATGGACTGCCCTTAACAAAGACAACCTAAAATTCAATCTGCAGATTAGCAGGTTATGTCTTAAATGTTAGTGGCCCTCTGTGAGACAAGGGCGGCTAATCTGTGTCCTAGAGAATTTATGTTCAATACCATGAAATTTTAGTTCCAAAGAAATACAGTAACATAAAGCTGGTTTCTGTAATAATATCTACCTTTAGCCGGAGGGAGGAAAGTCAACTTTGTGCTCTAATGTACAACTTGTTACTTCCTTCCACAACTACCACAACTGTTGTATTTGCTCAGATTTTCCAAGAAGCAGTTACTAAAACAAGCATGAAGTTTATTTAAAAAAAAAAACCAGTAAGAGAAATGCAAAGAAAGCTGGATACGGAGGGAGATCCTCAGACTTAAGGCAGCCCTGACCTCTGCAGAAAGGGAGTTAGTCTGGACAGAAAGGATCTCGCACTGCAGCACAGTTATATAGAAGTTTTCATCAGACACACGGGGAATCCTTGAACCAAAGTCATTCATTAAAGAAGCTCTACACCTGGCGGCAAGAGGCCTGCCTCAATGTTCCCACTGAGCCCCAAACCCCACTAGGAGCAGCCTCCAAGCAGCCTGGCCTTGGTAGGAGCAGAGGTGGAACCAGAGGGGAGGCAGGCTGGAGCAGTGCATTTTCAAGGCCACACAGTGATAGGACCAAGAAATATTTTCATAGTTTACTTTTAAATAATTCATCAACATAAGCATAGTTTGATTATGCATATAAAGTTTAAATGGCTTGCAGTCATAATAAAAAGCAAAGTTAACAATTAGGAATATGCATCAAGTACCAGGTAAGCTTTAATATATATCAATCTTTACAGTGACCTTGTGCAGTAATGTTATTATAAATCCTCTTCAACAGATAGAGACCGAAGCTTTAGCTGGGTAATAAGATTACACGGCTGCTCATTAGAAATTGACACTGGATAGATGACTGCCTCACCCCTACAATCTGGTGTTACTGCCTCCCTGTGGCAGGAAGGATTATGCACGCTGTCATTTCAGTGGATCAAGATAGCTGCACGTTTATTCACAAGTAAGCAGAAAAGCCTCCCAAGGGCATGAGTTAAAACAAAACTAAACAAACAAAAAAATCTGGCATATTCTACAAGCCTGGGGCCACACTTGGAACTGTCCCATTCTAGGTTGTTATTTATGAGAACCTAAGATTTGGCTATCTGGATTCTGCTGGCTGCTTTCAGCTTTATCTAGATCAAAGCCAGAAGCAGAAAGGGCTCAAGGAAAACAGATCTGGCCAGAACATGCACATCTTTATCAACTCCTTCATTTAATGTAAAATACATGGTGAGTGCCATCTTCGACGCTCGGTAATTTTTGAAGCTGGTGACACAATGATGAGCTGGGCAAACCTTAACGAGACAAGAAGACAGGCAATTCTAATAGATGGGCCAAGCAAGTGCCATCAGGGCTGGAGCGTACAGAGTTCTGGAGAAGACACAGGCAGGCCTTGTAACGAGTGCCTGGGAAATTAGCAGAACAGGGAGGAGAAAACCACCAGTCGAGGCCGGCGCAAGTATCTGAGTGAATTCACTGGAAGATCCCCACCAGCCTTCTAACAGAACACAATCAGCATGTTCACGAATGACTCTGAATCATGAGACACATGCTGGCGTTAACTTCAATACACAGGGTAGGGAAGGTGGAGATTTCACCTTTTGCTTTTTTTAATGACAGCGTTTAGAAGGTTAAACTCATATGGATCTCTTATACATCCAAAACATGATGCTTCATAATTTTGGACATTCGAATTGTATTGTTCACATCAAAGTCAATGCACTTAACAGTTAACTGATTTGCCTTTGTGCATTAATTCCTTTTCCTTAAGATTAAAACAGTAAACTCTGGGACTGTCAGTGCTGGGAGGCCCCACCAGGAGCAGTGGATTTCTCCTGCCCTGGGCTCTGTCGGATTCTCGGATCCTCATCAGCACCATTCACATGTGCTCCTCCAGCTCCATGCATTCTCCAGCCCCGGCAGGCACGTCATTCATTTACTGCAACTGCTGGCCTTCTTACCTCATCGAGGTAAGGACTGGATTTTTCTTATTAATTGTTGTATCACCAAACTCTGAAATTACCCAGCACACAGAAAGGCGCTTAAAAAATAAAGATGACCACTCCATCACAAGGGCTACCTTCTTTTTACTACCTACCACACACTACACTAAAAGTTTGAAAAGGGCCTCATTTAATGTTTGTAACAAGGTTCGTTCTACACCTGCTACTTTCCCAGATGAGAAATCTCACAGTAGGGAGGCAGTTTGTCCAAGATCACATAGCACACAGGTAGCAGTGGCCTACAAAATCAGATCTGTCCAAATCCAACACCCCAAATCACCATATGTATACTTGGCTTTCCAGCAGACATTTAAAATTATGTTGTTCTACGTGATGAGTCTGGGGGATATTTTCTAACGCTGCAGTGTTCCAATGTTGTTAATATTACAGACTAAGCCATCTGCCCAACTCTCGCTTCCACACATGTCCTACTATCATCATGCTGGAAAACCATAATCTCTGGGCAACCAACCCCTCAATTCCACATACTGTTGTTTGCTTTGATTTTTTCTTTTCTTAGGCTCTCAAATTCTAAAAATTTGATCAGTTCACAGCAAACCAGCAATTTTGTTGACATTTCTAAAGAGACAATTTGAGAAATTTTAAACAGCTGTTCTAAGCAGTATGTTGTATTACAAAGAGGTAAAAAGATCTCTGCATTAAAATCTTATTTTTAAAAGGTAAAGTCACTCACTGTTCTCCCCTTTGTTTCTGTATATGCAGACACCATGTGCAAGCAGCTACAAGAAAGTGTGATTAAATGAGGCTGACATACCATGATGGCATTAACTCAAAGCATAATCAGGGAATGAGACAGGCACATTGATAAGGGAGAATAAACCAGAAACAAAACAGGGTTGTTTATATGGACAAAGCGAAGCAGGGGCAGGAGCCACACTTCAGCACAGAGTGACAGACCACAGGCCCTCCGGAATCTGGCAGGGCTAATTCCTCAGGCTGTCATTCACAGGGCTTGCTCTGGGACCAAAGTGATGTGCTGAAATCAAGTTAGAGAATAAGTGTATGTTTGATCTGCTTTCTTTTAAAGAACAGGGCAAGTTCAATGGTGTGGAATTACATAGTTTGGAAAGCTCAAAGGACACCAAACCCCACTGTTTTAGTTCACAGTAGTACTGTACTAAGTGTAGTGCCCTTCATAATTAGAAAGAAGCCAATCTCAGAGTATCTTTCCAATTCCATTCTTTTTCATAGAATCTCACTTCTGGTTGCCTGGTCAGCGATACACGAGCTAAGAGCGCGTGTTCCTGAGCCCACCAGTCTGGATTTAAATCTGCACAACTGCTTACTAATTACATGTGTGGTCTTGATGATGGTACCTGCTCTTTGTCTATGTTTTAGCTTCCTCCTTTGTAACTGGAGCTACCAAAGTGCTTATGCATCAGTGATTATTGTGAGAATCAAACAAGATAATGCACGGTAATGAGCTTAGTATAGTACCTGGTAATGTCTCCGTGTGGGAATTTCTCCCATTAATTTCTTGGGAAATTTATATATTTTTCTGAAAGATGAGAAAGATCTGTCAAGAAATTCCAGAAAAATCTAGTATCTGCAAAGTCCCCCCAAAATATTAATCTTCAGGAGTTGAGGATGAAAGATAAGAATTCCTAAATAACAAAATATTCCACATTTTCATTATTTACCTACTTAAGTAATGAGTGACTGTAATAACCAACAATGAATCATTTCTAATGCAAAAGTTTCATAAATATTCTGTTAAAAAGAGATACAGTTATAGTGAGACATAAGTACTGCAAGTTTAGGTTCTGCCTGGCAGAATCTAAGGTACAAGACCCTACCTGAAAACTACAAAAGGTCTTGGGATGTAGTCAACCCTTAATACCACACCAAAAAAAGATATGATAATATATACATGATTTACTTTTACTTGAACAAACATACTATGACAAAATTATTTCAGAATTCATGTATTTTAAAATTATACATGTAAAAGTGATCTTGACTTGAAACAGATATCTGATGATTAAAAAATTATAAAATAACATTAACAAAAAACAAATGCCAAATAGAAATCTGTTTAAAAATGTAAAGATGTTATCATATATACTTAATATTTAAACTTTGTCATTCTTAAGGAAAAATGTAAAGGACAGTAAATATAATATCCAGAAACCTTGGCCCTTGTTTGCTCTCCACATAGAGAAAACTTAATTCATTTCATTTTTATGCTGATGTTGGGTGAATTAGAGCAGAGATGGAGAACTGGGGGAAACCTGTGCCCTTCAGGAAAACACCCCCAAATGCCTTCCAGATGAACATACAGACACATGCTTCATATCTGCTCAGTCATTTATTCAGGGATGAAAATATTTTGTCTGCTTGTCCTCTCTTGGTTTTGTCACTGAAACAGACACTGCTTTTGCCAATTCAGATTTAAATCTGTTTGTTTCTGATTTTGTATCAGTGTATTCCATAGTAACACTCCCATCGTCTTTTTGTAACTCTGTCACCAAAGTATTCAGAAAAAAACTGAAGTCTACGGAAAATACTCAGACATTACAAACCACCAGTAAGTTATCCCAGGCAACACTGGATTAATATAATATTCAAATAGCCTGACACCAGTGTTACATGGAATCACACACCACAACTAGCAGCTGGATGCCTTGTTTTGCCTCCAAGACTTACTTTTTGTCCCAACATCTGATCATGCCTCATACATTGGTGATTCTTAATTTAATCTCTGTAATTCTAACCTTCCATCGAGCTTCTCCATCACTGTCACTAGGGACTTAATTTGGGCTCTCTCATTTCCTCATAGAGCTGTTACCAAAACCTCTCTGTCATAAGATAGCTGCTGATTTTTAACCCAGATTTTTGACACTGACTTCATGATATAGATCTGGCTATTCTGACATTCTCTATATCTGTGAACACTCACAATCTCCAAGATAACACCCACACTCCTTGCATGTTACACAAGCCTTTCACCAACAATCTGCACTTGACCTTGCCCATGATCCTGTCTAGCCAAATCTATACAGACTTTCATATCAGCTGCATAGAGCTTCTCATTTTAAAATACCAAACTTTTACATTTGTAGAAATTCACATGCATGGTTACCTTCATGTATAATACTTTTATTATAGTGGTCAAGCAATTTATCATTTGAGATGCTTTTGGGCTCAGGAATCTCTCTATGAAGTTCTTCCTGGACTCTCCAAAGAATGTATTTCTTTCAATTTTTAAATATACTGTATTTACAGCATTAATCACATTATCTGTATATCTGTCTTCTCCATTAGATGATGAGTTCTAGATTGAAAATACATCTCTCTGTAGTACTGATTTCTCCACCTTCTCTAACATGCTTCCTGAAAGAGCTGCACGGGATAAGGACTGTGTGGCCTTATTTATGTGTGTGGACACACACATGGTTAAATAGCGAAAGAATATACAAACAAAAATACTGCTGGTTATGCTCACTGCTGACAATTAATCTTTTAAAGATGAGGTACTGAACATGACATGGGACTTGCTTCTTTATGTTAGAGGGCAAACCAGGATGAGGAAAGACTTGTCTGGTCAAAGTAACATGTTCAAGAAGCAGAAAAAAGTACCCATTTATTTAACGTAAGTGATGAAACTTTTCTGCTCCCATGAGAAAATTATGGAAACACACTCACTGTGGAGGGAAACAGAACTGGCAGTTCAAAAGTGAGAATCGAGATTTCTAAGTCTTCATGCAAAAGAATGGAAATTCTTTCTGCCAGTAAACTGGACAGACCTTATATCCTCTCTGGGCCTCTGCTATCTCCTCTGTAACATGGCAGCACTGGCGTCCAGGTCTTGTTAAGACAGTCTCCTGCTCAGGCTACACTCTCCATGTGAACTCTGCCCAGCATTCACAAGCAAGCAGACTGAATTACTTCCCTTCACCGTATTGAATTATGGAATAATGAAGACTATGTATTTCTTAGGAACAATGAGGACAAGTCAGTTTTAGAAACTGCTAACCATTAATAACAAAATAAGTGTAATTTTATGCCTTGAATTTACCAAGGCAAAAGATATAGGAGATTGACTGTCATTATGTACGTTAATTTTAAAGACTAATTTTAAGACTTCTTGTACTTCAGAGTTGTGAAGGCTGTTCTTACTGTTTTAGTCAGAAAGAGTTTTTCCTAATTAAATTCCCCCATATTCCCTTGCAGAGCTTAAATTTTACTAAAGCATTGTGAAAAGCAACCGTGTTTAATTCAATCCCTGGTTGCCAAGAGGCTGTATAATTTGGAGACTAGCTGGCCTTCCAGAGCAGGGGGAAAAAATCCTCACCTCTGTGGCTTGATAGGTATCCTTCTTGGAGTATAAATGTATTACCCAAGCAGTTCCCACCCTGGCTGCACATTAGGAACATTTTCTAAAAATATTAATGCTAGAGTCTACCACAGACTAATTAAGTCAGGATGTCTGAAGGAGAGGAAGAGGAATGAACAGTTTTCAAGCCTCCTACCTGACTGTAGGTGGGGTGTAGACTGCTGCTAGAGAAATAGACTGCAAAGTAAATTCTCTAAAAGTGTTATACAATTTGTTAAATAAGTTGCACTGTATTCTTAAAGATTCTGGACCAAATAAAATGAAACAACTTAAAACAGCTCTTACTGGGGCCTGAGATAGAACATTTGCCTAGCATACACAAGACTTTGGATTTGCTCCCCACTTGTAACAAAAAAAGGAAAACAAAGCAAAACCACTTACAGAAATTACAGAACCAATTCCTCCTGAAATATATTCCGGTAAAGTTAAATCCAAGTTACAATTTCAAAGTAATTTAAATATCCAGAAATAGAGGGCCACATATAACAATATATTCCTGTATCAGTTCTGTAGAATAAATTTTTATGAGCTGAGAAACGGTCCTTAGTATATTCTGAGTTAAAAGAATCAGGTTTCAGAACCAAAAAATAACATTTACATAAAACCACTGAAAAGAAAAAAGGTATGCTAATACAGACAAAAGCCTGAAGACAACAAAGCCCAACAAGAATGGTGTCTTTCTCCTGATGCCTAATCCTTATAAGTAGTTTTCTTTTCCCAAGAACCCATAGCACTCTGCTTATAATATTTCTTAACCTACGTGCTAATTACTAGACTTTTCCCATCTTAATTTACTTCCGTAATTGTTATATTTTTATACTTGGATAACTTTTATTCATAAGGAAATCATTAGGAACTATGTCACATTTGACTTGTAGCTGAGACTGGTACATTTTCTGGGAAAAAAACCTAAGTTATTGTGGAATATATATTATTTTTGAAATCTAATTTATTAAGATGCTCATTGAGAAGCTAATTCAAATTTAAAATATGACTCATTTGATGTTTATTATTATGACAGGTAAGGTAATTCAAAGCCAATTCTGATAACCCAGAAACTGAATTAGAAAAGACAAAAATTTAATTCCTGGACTTCAAATTCACTTATATATTGAAGTATCAAAGAATATTCTAGTTGCAAAGAAACAAAAAATATGACAGAGTTGTACTTATCTAGAAACAGAGGTATGAAAAATTATTTCTAAGTACTTTATAACTGACACATCATTGTTGATAAACGTTCATTTGTAATTCCAATTTGATCCACTATTCCATAGAAATATTACAAAGTACCAATCAGGGAATCTGAGGATATTAAAGATGATATTTTAACCCTTTTATTTTACATTAAAAGTAACACTGTTATAGAAATAGTTACTGGAAAATCTGGAATTTTAATACACTTTTCAGCATTTCAAGACAGAAGCTATTTTAAGTATGTCACTTACAATAGTGAGATTAACAAGTCAGTCTACAAAAAGCTATTTAGCCTGCAGTGTGGCTGAAACATTTAGCAATGAACAATCAGTAGAGAACAATAGTATTGCAGTAGTCACTATGAAAATAATCCAAAAGTTACCAAATTAAAGGTTTTGTTTGTTCATTTGTTTGTTTTTAAGTAATGAGTTTGGGGCTGGGTGAGTTAAGAGCGGACAGCAATGTCCATCAGTGTTCTGCAAGGACTCAGAAAATATGTAGGCTTTTCATACATCCTGAACCCGTCTTTCACTATATCTAAATTCACCAGTGTGGATCTTTTCATGGGAGGCAAGGATCTTCCATATGACTCAAGCTAGTTCTCATTTAGATTGAATGGGGCCTCTACATTAACACCAACTCTTCATATTAAATTAAGATTTGTAAATCTGCCCTGAGAATACTACAAAGAAGATTTCCTGTATTGGGGCAGACGCAACATGTTAGGATGCTGTGTTTTCTTGAAACGTAAGATTTAATACATAATTCTACATTTTCTCCTCATTTCATGAAATTTCCTTAGTTTTCAACAATGTTTTCCTCCAAATCAAATGTCAGTAACTGGATTTCCATGACACTCAGGCCGCCTCATCTTCCCGTGTCTAGTGTGATCAGTCGGTAGATGTGCCGGGCCCAGAGCCCTGCTCCTGTTCTCTTTCCTGCTCCTTCTCTAAGCAGACGTGAGGGTGGAAGCAGGGTTAATCCTCTTTCAGCTGTGCAGATGTTTCTCACCCTAAAATCGACACCTGTTGGGGTTTCCAGACACAAATGTCGAGGTCGGTCTTGGTGTTAACTCAAAGAAGCTACCGCTTAGCTATTTTATATCTCCAAGCTGACAGAACAGCTTTTCGGTATGTAGTTGGCACTAGTGACGCGCAGAACTTCATAAAGGCAGCATAGAGAAGGGAAAGAAAACATTTTCCTTTAAAGTTAAAGACATAAAATGACTTGGAAAGCTTTTTGAGCATTTACAGAGTTTTCTCAAACTCAACTAAAGTTGACTATTTGACGAACCTTACAATTTTCCCTAAAAACAAAAAGGAAGGGTTAAGCAATGCTGTACATACCCTGAGTAGCTGTTGGAGGTAGCTTGAGGGTATTGTCTAACTTCTCCCAAAGATAAGTTGGCCGGGGGATGCCTTCCTCTGAGCTGCAAAGCAGGATCACATCGCTGCCAATGTCCTGGGATCCTTGGATTTGGCAGTGTGGGGCAGAAGGGGGAACTATAATAGGAAAAGGAAGCAATAAGGTACACATTTGCTCTGAGCCAAGGAATGAAGAACAGACATCAAGTCTCAGCACCCTAGGCCTAGGTAACACTGATTTGGGATCACACAGGAGACAATCCACAGCTGAAGCCAGAGGACAATCACACACTAATTCCTGGGCTAGGGCAGTGCACTGGGCATGCCACTCTAGCCTGCAGGAGCAAATATGAAAAAGAATGACCCACGTGTATTGTATTGTCAAGACATCTTACGGTCTTGGATTCACTCTGCGGCTTCTAAAAAAAACCTAAGATCCTCCATTCATACAACATGCTGGCTTTAAAAACCCTGCTGAAAGTCTGCGTGTAGAGACTTTCAAGGAACAGAAGCCCCAGCTTTCCAGCTGACCTCTGGCTAAGACCACCTTAGCAAAGCTTTCATCGCTTTACAGGAAAAAAGAAAACCCCACATGGGCATACTTTTACACCTATGCCAAATCCTGTTTCATGCAGGGAGAACAGAGTAATGTTAAATTAGGATAAAGCTGATAGCGATGCCCTGGACGTCACTATCCAATAATGTCTGTCTTATACAATTACAATCATTCAGATAGATAAAATCACATAAAATAAAAATAAATATCAGAAAAGAACACTAGTAAAAAAAAATAGTAAGTGGTTACTTGCACTAGTAAAAGGCAAGCAACAGAAATATAAATCCATGGCTTAAATTCCAACATTGAAACACCGAATGTTTAAGTATAAATAATGATGCATTTAAACTGCTACTTTTCAAGACACACATTTACCCTTTCACAAATGAATTACAAATGAATGCAGAATATTCAGAGGAATTAGGAAAGAAAGAAAGTGGGGAAAGGGAACACAATGAAAGTGGGAAAGAATAAAAATCTCAGAACCCTAACCACTGTGATGGGCAGACAGTCTTCCTGGTTTACCCTTTTTGACGTTGCCACTGTGACATTCTGAAAAAATGCAAGGTAATTCTTTGGAGATAACATTAATTATAAAAAAGAGTCTTTTTTCCTTTAAGAAATAAATAATAAAAGAAGCCAACTATCTAACTCAACAGGTACATGCATCATAATAATACATAATTCTAGCAGTTCGCTGAATCCAGTACTCAGACTATTTAAAAATCTACACAATTTTAATATATTACAATGAATAATATTTTGAGAAAATAAATCTCCAACCTGGTCTTTCAGTTTTTTAATTCTGTTCAAAGACTGGGAAGAAATGGCACCCAGCATTATAGGGTATTCTCGCCCCAAGAGACAAAACAAGAATCCCACCTTTGGTGAACTGCAGGGGTGATGGGAGGAAAAGAAGCGGGGTGAGGGATGTGAGGAGGACCAGGAGGCAGCTTCTGAGCCCCAGAAGGATGGAGAAGGATCAGGACCACTGCCCTTCTCGAGTACTTTCTCCATCTTCTCAAAGAAACTAAATTTAGCCACTTGTACCACCAATATTCATTTAGAGGGCAGTATTTTATTTTATAGCTAGGAAAATTGAGAAATCTAACATGTTTGAAGTGGGCACAACTTAGTATGACACAATGTAGCAGTGTCATGCAATAGAGTGGGTGGCATTTGGAATGAGGAAATCTAAATTTTAATCCAAACCTTGCATTGTTCACTGTCTTATGGGACGAGGCTCTTAAATCTATTTGGTCTCAGAATTAGGGTGATATTATGACAAACTGTTCAAACAAAGGTACTTGTGAGAATAGTCAAGGAAGTGTTATTAAAAATTCCTCAGTACAACAGGGGCCAGCTGAGGTCTGTGGAGCTCCCAATCCATGTTGCACAGGCATCAAGCAACAGGAGTATTACTTCTCATACATGCAGAAACCTCGGCTTTGTACGGCAATAAATAATTTGTGATTTAATTTGCTCTCAACAGAAGCTTCTGCCCTGTGGAAGTTTAAGGAGAGAGGCCACTTCCAATAGTATTTCATTCCACCTGCATCCACCTTTAGAAAATGCCATTAGAGAAGTCCGAGAGACTGTCTAATGAAGGAAGCAGAGGACAGACTGTGTTAGAAGGTCAAGGAAGGTGAGAGAGAACTGAGAGAAAAGACAGGAACACAAGCAGACCGTGCAGAAGTAAAGGCAGAAGCAAACATGCTTGACAGCAGACTCACACGGGAATTTCAAGGTGCATGGAACTGTTCTGTCGCTCACCTAACACTGTGAGGCCAGTGACCCCAATGTTCCTGCCTCCTCTGTCCGGGAGGTTGTTGACCAAACACTGATAGGTGCCTGTATCTGACAGCTGAGTATTATTAATAAAAATGGAGACATTGGTAGCTGGCATCGTGCCTGTAAATCCTACCCTACCGTGGAACCGGGGAGCACCATCAAACATCTGTCCAGCCTGATACAGAATGACCTGCAAAAGAAAGCAAAATAAACCTAATGGCCACGGTACCCACTTCTGGACCTGTAACAGTTAAGTAGTAGACAGTACCAAATGTTTCTGCCTCAAATTTTGGAAAATTTTCTGCCTCAAATTTTGGAAAATTTTCTGCCTCAAATTTTGGAAAAGTTTATTTCTAACTTAAGATTTGTTACTACTAACATTTTGTTATCACACACGTCCACATGTATCTTGGGGCTCTAATTCTCACATACCAAATTAGAATAACACATTTCCCTTATGAAACTCATCAGAACACACAAAGTATGCACTGATACCCTACTATTAACCAATAAATATTTATCGATTCAAAAAATTAATTACAAAATTAAAACTTTAAAAAATATTAGCATTGTCATTGTCTCGATTACTAGGCCACAAAATGGTGCATCGTAGTTACAGACTGAATATAAATAAATGTTATAAAAAGAGGCAGAGTTTCAAGTCCATGACTGTTATTCTTATGTCAATTTCTAGTGTCAAAGGTAACTGCTCCTGGGAGAGTGATCAGAATGATACCTAACAGAAATCCTTTGAGCTATGAATGTACTTGAATCTTTCTTCTGTAATGGATAGTTTAATGGAGATTAGCTTCTGTTTTCATGTACATTTTTCTGTGGTCCCCTCTAATATATATGACACTATGAGTTGCCTAGTACACTTGCTTGTGTTTAAATACTTGCGAAACTAACTCAGAACACCAACTGCTTCTATCTAACATTAATTTCTGTTATCACTACTTTTCAAACCCATCACCTGTTTAGTGACAAAATAGACTTTGCTTTTTCTATGTTGGTATTTTCCTGGTGGTGTTTTTTTTTTTATTCTAAGTTTCTGCATAAAAGTCTCAGGAGAATCTCCTTAGCATGTGATGATGGCCATGATAATGATAACAATAATAATAGAAGTCTTTTAAAAAGAGTATACACTTTCCTGACAATTGATAGTAACACAGAAAGGAGGCTTCAAGACAGCACAGATGCACTAAAAGATGCCACCTTATCCTAGAAAGTGCTCAGGATACTCCCCTACCCACCTCTTACAAAAGGATTATTTCAGAGGCAGCAAAAGATGAAGCAGAAGTACCTGTTCAGGTTGGTTAGCGTTGGAGAGAGGAATGACCATCCAAATGACATTGAGGTTCAGGAGGGCAGCACTGGTAGAAAAGGTGCAGGGCAGGACTGCTGTTTGGCCTCGGGCCACCTGGATACTCCCTGGGCTCTCTGACACTTCCAACGACACTGCAACACCTACAGAAGAAGGGACTCAGGTTATATGTTCATCTGTTCCTAACAGCACAAACCCTTCAGAAAGGCGTGCTTGGTTAACATGACCATTTTGTAACAGAAAATAGCCGCTCCCCCAGCCGGTATATTTCAGTTTCTCAGCTGCCCAGGTAATAGTTTCTGCTCCAGTTCTGGTTGCTTCTGGTCTCTTAGAAACAGCTGGTCAGGGGCCGGGGATTTAGCTTGGCGGCATAAGTGCTTGCCTGACAAGTACAAGATCATGAGTTTGATCCCCGGTATCAAAAAAAAGAAAAAGAAAGAAAGAAAGAGAGAGAAAGAAAGAAAGCTAGTTACTGCGATGCAAATTTGTAAATTGTATAAATCACCTCCAATTGACACGCCCTTCTGCCTCTGTATTTCCCACTTGCTTATCCAGTGTAAGCCATAGACTGACTGCCAGAGATACGGGCCTGATAATTTGGGAGCGATCTGACCAGTGCCCTTAAACATCCATAAATCTGCCTCCAAATCATGGGTGTCATTTTGGTATTTCTGCATGCCTTTGGTGCACTGGCCAGGAAGACTGACCATGCTGAGCATTTTGGTCACCAGTCATGGCCCTCATGGACCTCTCCAGCTGCTGATGGGAAGGTACGCCCTCTAAGATTTTTCAAGTCCCCTCAGAGGTCTGGAGGAGGCCTGACTCCTCCCTTGAGCAACTCACATCAGACCCCCATGGGAGGCTGCAACCTGTCTGTCTGTCTACCTGCCTGCCTGATTCCATTAAGACCCTTGGGGTACCCTAGTTGGCCAGTCTATCAGTCCTGCTCAATTTGAAGAGAAGAGCTTGATCACCTCTTATTAGTTAAACCCACGCTCAGGGGAAGGGGGACTGGAATGTTTAATCTCTGATTGTGCCTTCTGAATGGATGTGTGAGTAGACAGACAGCATAAACAATAGGTTGCTCTGTCTATGCACCAAGACTGGGAAGCACTAGTCACAGCTGATGGGCCTTCACCTGCAGTTCTGTGGTGACTGACACCTCACACCCTCCTTAGCTAAGCTGCTCCTAAGTGCCCCATGAAGGGCATGGCCAAACACGCATCTGTCATTTCAGTTTTTTGCTTACTGTTTCAGAATTACTCTTGCTAGTGTGAACAACTGACATGATAGTCTTACTAAGTAATGCCTGACAGCCACTGAATCAACTACTAAAAGTGGTCTACCCCTTTACCTCTTGGAAACTGCAATTTGAAATATGTGAGCCAGGTGTGGTGTCACATGACTGGAATCCCAACTATTTTAGCGGCTGTTGGGAGAATAGCAAGTTCTAGGCAGCCTGAGTGGCTAAATACAACCTTGTCTCAAAATAGAATTTTAAGTGGGGATATATCTCAGGGGTAAACTGCTTGCCTACACGCACAGGACACTGGATTCAACCCCAATACTTTCAGGAAAAATAAAGAAAGGGAAAAAAAAGGGGCCTCGGGGCTGGGAATTTAGCTCAGCGGCATAAGCACCTGCCTTGCAAGCAGGTGGTCGTGAGTTCAATCCCCGGTACTGATAAAAATGAAAAAGACAAAAAAAAAAAGGGGGGGGTGCTCCAGACTCCATGCAGCATCTGGCCAGATTAAAAAGCTAAAACAAAAAAACATGAGAAAATGTAACCAGCAGGGTTTGAGCAAAGGTTATAAATCGTGATGAAAGATAAAAAATCTTTGCAAGCAGGCAGTCGTGAGTTCGATCCCCAGTACCGATAAAAAGACAAAAAAAAAAAAAAAAAAAGAAAGATAAAAAATAACCTGAATTTTTAAAGTACCATTATAATAGCATACCGTAAAATTAAATGCTTATGTGTAAGTCTCACAAAATATATGTAATATCTATATACAAAAAACTATATATAAAACACTGATGAAAGAAATCAATACAACTAAACAAACAAAACTCATAAATTTTGTGGAAGGCCAATTTTCTCCAAAATGACTGACAGATTTATAATAACTTCAATCAAAATCTCACTAGGCATTTCGAAAATATAAAGGCAAAGAACTAATTCTAAAATAAAAAGGCAAAGAACCTGAATAACCAAAAGAATACTGAAAAGCATAGCAAGAATGGTAAATTCATCACATATGATTTTAAAACTTGTCATAAACTATACTAATCAAAACAATATGGCACAAGAATGAGAACAGATATACAAATAAAAACCACATGACTGAAACTAGTGAAACTTTTGGATTTATGGTTAATTGATTTTCAACAAAGGTTACAAGACAACTAATATGTAAAAAAGACAAACATTTGTAACAAAAGGTGCTTGAAATTAAAAAAAAGTTTGTGCTTCAAAATATTTAAGAAAATAAAGTCAAAACATACATGAATAAGAAAATATAAATCATGTAAATGATAAAAGACATGTCCTGCATATATAAATAACTATGACAACTCAATTAAAAAAAGGATACAAATATTAAAACCACAATAAGATGTCACTGCATATTTGCTAGAGTGGCTACATTAAGACAATTTCAAGTGCTAATGAGGATAAAGAGAACATCATATCATATACTGCTGGTAGAAATACAAAATGACATGCTCGCTATGGAAAATAGTTGCAGTTTCTTAAAAAGTTCAGCATAAATATACCACACAACTCAGCAATATCATTTCCTAGTAGTACACCCAAGTAAGATGAAAATATACGTCTTCACAAAGATTTGCCCATAAATGATCACGGCAGCAGCATCTAACTCATACCCCAAATGCAAATAATACCAATACTCATCAATTGGCAAATGGCTAAATAAAATGTGACATATCCATGCTATTCAGAAAAAATAAACGCACTGAACTACTGACACATTACTACTATACGGATAACCCTCTCAAAAATACATTGCTAAATGAATGAAGCCAGATCTGTATTAATAAGATGGGATTAATAGATGGGACCAAATAGCTAACATATTCAATTTAAATTTAAATAAATGTAAGGATTTGTTTTTGTAAGGATTCAGTCTCTGGTCAGCTGGCTCCGAGGCAGGAACATCATGGTAGAAAGACATACTAGAACCAAGCTGCTTAGTCCACAGTCACTACAAGCAAAGGAGAGCAGCACGAAAGAGCAATGGACCAGGGACCAGGGACCAGGGACAGATCCTAAGGTCATGCATCAAGAGCCACTCAGACTAATTCTCTACTCAAATCCCAAGCCAAGAAGGTGGACAAGATTAATAATCACAAGATCTACACCACTACAGTGTATGATTCCACATAAAAGGAATATCTAGGAATGTCTCTATAAAGACAGGAAGCAGATTGCTGCTGTCTGGAGCTGGAAAGGAAGAGCAGAGATCGACACAAATAGGCTGAGTGGGACGTAATAGGGTGATGGATAATGTCTTTTTTTAAATTTTATTTAAGGAGAAAAAAGAAAAAAAAAACAGAAAAAGGGTACAAGTTGTACAGAATTTCAGAAAAAATAAACAGTAGGAAATCACTAGTTAATAGATTACATATTGTCATCTTAGAAATAGTTGTTCAAGTTACAAAATTAAAGCATATAGAGGGGCCATTCAAACAGTGAGACTGCAAACAGTTTTGTTCAATGATTCAATAAAACTCAGTAATATGGTTATCCATCTTATACACTTAAATATACATGCAGTTAACTCCTTTCGAGCACTTTATTTTTCTCTTTTTTGTACAATGACAATTACACATTTTGGGTTTTATTACTGCCACAGTTCTTATCACTTTTTTTTGAAGACAGTAAAGCCAAATGTGACATAACAGGACAGAGTCAGTCAAATCAAAAGGATGGACATAATACATAATGTAAAAACAAAATACAAGGTGATCAACAATGGTTACCATAATGACTCTTGCTATCTTAAAAAGAATTGCCTATATCATAAAATCTAACAAAACAGTAAAGAACAAAACCAATAAAACCAAAACATTGGAGACATTAGAGGACTTCAAAAAAAGATAATAGTCAACCAGAATGGGCGTAAATTATATCTCAGCAATACTATTAAAATTTAAATAAAGGGCCAGGGATTTAGTTCAGTGGTGTAAGTACCTGCCTGGCAAGCATGAGGTCATAAATTCAATCCCTGGTACAAAAAAAAAAAAAAAAAAAACCCTAAAATTTAAATAAAGAAAACAGTGGCTCACCAAAGCCAACTCCTGGGAAGCGAAAATCAGTCGTTACATATTTTACAAACTGCCTGCCTTTCAGCATGATGGAAACGCATGGAAGTAACAAGATCATAAGACAGGTAATCAGGGCAACTGGCAAAAGCAACTATTCTAAATCAGGAAAAACACATTCTGTCCATGATAGAATATCAAACTGTTTTATTTTGAAGTGATGATATTCTAATTTTTCCAGAAAAGTAAGACAATAACACAGTATCATGGTTACAAGTAGTTTTTAAATTGTACAAAACACTTTCCATCTATGGAACTTTACGTTCTTCACACATAGTCTTAAGATGTTCCCAGGAGTTAAATTTCCAGAATAAAATGCTTTACTGAAGAGAGGAAAAGTAGATATACTGAAATCATATCTTATGCGTGTATGAAAATGTCACAATAAAGTAAATGTTTACCATAGAAAAATAAACCATCTATTACAAAAATGTAACACACTTGACAACAAAAAAAATCTAGGGTTGGGGGATATACCTCAGCAGCACAGGGCTTGCCTGGCAAGTGCAAAGTTCTGAGTTTGATTCCTGGTACCAAAAAACAAACAAACAAAAAAAAAAAATGGCTCTAAATTAAGTAACATTAGAGGAAGGCTATACATTTTAAAATTAGAGGAAGAAGAAGGTTATTTGATGTAGCAGGCAATGAATAGAAAAGCACAACTGGGTTATTGTTATAGTTTGTGTCTAGATATCCCCCCCAGCCTTATGCAACCATCGGGGCAGACTTCCAGTGTTTGTGATTGGTTCATAGTTCAGTGCAGGGATTATGGGCGGGTGTAGCCTACATACAATATAATGGA